CAAACTTTTAGCCTTTTGTTATTTTGGATGTATTTAAAATGTCAAACTACATTTTGAGCCAAAATCACAACGATTTTTGGATGAAATTGGTGAATAGAAGATTACATTGTTTGGTCTACGGTTGTGGCAAGATTAGCGATCTACAACTCCCTGAGAATCTAGAGGATAAGATAATCAGTGATAAGACCGACAGGAGACCACATGAGCTCGAGATAAGCCTAGTGATAAGATCAGCGACAGGACCACATGTTGCGGTCCCTGGCGAGGTGGTAAGCCAGCAGAAAACATCCCTCTTGGATTACCCACAATGCTATTGCAATCGGACCACAGATGCTCACATAATTTTGACAAACACAAGGGGTTTAGAACCACAAACATTGTATTAAAGTGTTACTGCAGTTCATGAAACAAGAAACAAATAGAAGAGGAAAACTTCCCCTCTATATGAGAAGAAAATTTATGTTTTTATCAGATCCATAAGGATTAACATTTATGAGGGAGTACTTTTAGTCTACACACAATACACAACGGCAACTAAAATGTAAAGTTTAGTATTATTTTCAAGGTAAGTAGGGCCGAGATATTTTGATAAAATTATTATACAGCGAGACAAAGATTTGTATAATATAAACCAGAATAGAAAATCCACCATATTATAGATCAAGACATTCCAAAGCAACAGTTTTGTGTGTGTGTGTGTGTGTGTGTGTGGAGAATGGGAATGTCAATTATTAATGTTTTTGGTCACCACACATTTTCAAGTAAATTTAAAATTCATATAATTTTAACACATGGCTCTAAGTAAACAATTGGAATCCAAAACTAACCTAATCAATCACCTGGCCTGGGTTACACAATTGATAGACTTCAAGATGACCACCATATACTTAAATTATAATTTTTTTAGTAAAAAAAAAAAATTAAAGTCCGACAGTGTAGGGTAAGAGTACATACCATATACGACTGACCGGAACCCTCTCCTCTCTGAGGTCATTAAACATGTACAACCCGTCACATCCGCCCCGGCGTCTCTGCCTATTTTTGGCTGATTTTAACTTTAAATATCACAAGTGTTGGTAAAACAAATATTAAAATAAAACTGTTATGATAAAAAAAATACAAACTACTAATTTAGGTTTGAGATATTTTTTATGTAGAGGAGAAAGATTTGATTTAAGTTATAATACGAGGGGTTATTGAGGACGTTCCATCACTTATTTTTACTTTTATAATTGGAAAGGCTTTTTTAAGGCAAAAGGGTGTGTTTTATAACAAGTTGAGTTAAGGATACTTTAAACAATGGCTAAACTCAACTCATACAATATAAATGTTTAATTTATTCATTAGCTTGAAAAAGAAAACGTAAAGAGTGAGATCATAGTTGTTTAAGAATTTATAAACATTCCATATACAATGCATAACGCAAAATAGTATGTAATCTTTTGCACGAGCATACCATACGAGTCTAACGTTTAAACTGTTATAACTCATGGTAGTATAAATTGAATAAATAGGATTGAATAAATGCAATTCTGTAATTCTACAGTTGGAGAAGAACCTTAGCTGGTAGTAAAAAAATACATCGATGATTAAAAAAAGAAACAAATTTACTTGTCTTCTATACAAATTAAACTACTTATTGAATCTAGGGGTACATTAGAATTCATCCCTTACAGCTCCGGCCAACGAGGGCGGTCTGCCCCTTACAAGGGATGTTTGGCACGATCTCTGTCTTGTGAATGTAGTAACGACTGTCTCGCGTACACGCCCTTATCGTGTTTACATCAACTATACGTGAAATGGACGGTCAAAGATATTTTAAATCACAATTAATTAGTTGACAAATGTATTACAAACGGAACTGGCAAAATTATTAACATACAACTTTAGAAATCAATGACGTCAAGAATATCCAAAACGCAAATGACCATGAATTCAAAGGCATTACTGTATGTTATAGTTTCTTTGATAAACGGTGGTGGTTAATAATGTTTTCAGATACGTTTGTGTGGACATTCATTTGCATTTCAGTTCATTGTGTAGTCTAAGAACAAAATAAATGCCTACTACAAAGGAAAATGAATATCAAAAGTGCAGTTTTGATAACTAAAACCTTAAAACATACGTTGGGAAAGAAATTGGGAAGCAATTAAATATTAGACCGGTATTATGTTCCAAAGGTTTTTGACAGATTTTATAGTTCCAAAGGTTTTTGACAGATTTTATAAAGTACCACAATACTAATTAATAAAAAACTACCGAGTCTTCGGGAATCAACTTGTGACTACAATAGGTAATGGCCTTGATTCATATTAAGTATTTTTTCACAAGTAACTGATCCGCTTATCTTTTTGGCAGTTTGGGTACTTCTTAATGTTTTTAAACACTACGAACTGGTTAAAATAGGACTTGTGTTCATTTGATACTATAAAGGCTATTTCAGATGTATGGTGTAGAATGTTTCGAATTCACCTATATTATGACACTTTCTTTTGAACACACTTTTGAACACAACAAAACATAGAAAACTCAGATAAGTCGACAATCCTCTTACGTAAGCACACCACCTTTCCAGACACAACAGACATGACAAGACATGACAGGCATGACAGACAACAAGTCATGACTGTAGGGTTTGCCGTAATGAAGTGATAATTTGAAAATTGTAAGTGTGGACTTGCTGAACACCCTTGTTAGTAGAAAGTCCTCGGTTCCTTAATGAAGCCAGAAAACCTCTAACAGAACATATGACAAGTGACAACATAGTTGTAGTAAGTTAAAGGCATAAAGAAGTGATAAATTAATGACAGTGAAAAAAAACCAGTATCACGTCTTAAAAAAAACATAGATAAAAATCTGTAGTTTTACGCACTGAATGAATAGGTAATAATTAAAGGTTCTAAAAAGTTCTAAAGGATTGAAAATGTACAGTTATACCGTAAAACTAAGCTTTTAAAGTTTTGTTTTCATAAACAATTTCAAATGAAAACTAAGCTACCATTATCAATGTGTGGACCATAAGTCATAGATCATTCCATAGATTGCCCCATATGATTAAACGGTTATCATTGACCACTCTGTTTGTTATCAGTTGATAAAGACAATTGGCTCCCGCTGTGGATTGTAACATATCGACCAATCGACCAACGGAGATAACTTATAGTGACCAAACAATATCTGAAGGTAACTGGGAGCTACAATTCCAACAGGTCCTCCATCAATGTCACTCCCACAACTCCAGTACAACCTGTTACCGATGTTTACGACGGTACAATGTAACAGTTGATAATCAGACAGGAACAGTTACAGCGACCAAACAATATCTGGAGGTAACTGGATGCTACAATTCCACCGGGTCCTCCATCAATGTCACTCCCACAACTCTAGTACAACCTGTTCCCGTTGTTTACGACGGTACAATGTAACAGTTGATAATCAGACAGGAACAGTTACAGCGACCAAACAATGTCTTGAGGTAACTGGGGGCCACAATTAATTCCAACAGGTTCTCCATCAATGTCACTCTCACAACCCTTGTATTACGCGTCCTTACAGTACACGAACGTGAAAAAACATGTAGGGTATATCTGTGTAAATTAGGTTCTATAAATTAATGCCATGGCAAACGAGCACAACTGTCTCCAACACCGTCGACGACGTGTTCCCAGCCAGGTAACATTGTAGTAGTGGCCAAATCGTTGTTTAATATGTTGAGTAACGTTCGGGCGGGGATATCGGCACCAGCTGGGTCATTTATCTAATCAAAGGAACCTAATAAATCTGCGGGGGTTTGGTAGCGTCGTAAATTATGTATAGACGAGCCATATGCAACATTAGCCCAAGTCTGCTGAGCCGGAGCCAAGCTTGCAGGTTGGCCCTACTGTAACACCTGTGTGTGTAGTGGTAACTCTGGTGGTACCAGCTGTGCTAACGTTGTGGTACAAAATGGGTACTGGTGTAGTTGAAACAGTGAAAGGAAATTGTAGGCTTCAAAAAATGTCATTGTCTCACTATTATAGGTTGATAGGTAAATTCAAGGAAAACGTACAGAAAAAAAAAACTATAACCGAGTGTAGGACCAATGATTCAGTACGATCCGAGTAATCTAAATGTTTTAGACCCACCCAACTAGGCACACAGTTATCAAACCGTAAAAAAAAAAAAAATTAAAAGCAGAAATACTATTATAAGTTTACAAAATAGTTTTCAAAATAGTACGTTACCAAAAACCCTCTCAAAGGAATTTGAACTCACGTGGGAAATAAGCTTAAAAGTAAAGCTTTTCTTCTTCGTTTTTCCTACTTTGAACTCTGAGTAATCTCCTTGAAATATAAGCGTAAACAGATTATGAATGCAACATGTGAGGTAAAATACTAAGAACTGATGTCGTTCACTACTTCCTACGCTTACGCTCAGTTTCTATAGTGTTCTTGCATGTAAGGTGCGAGGCTTAAAAAATGATTCCTAACAACACAATTTTTTAAGAAATATAGGTTTATCATTCGCAATACTTGAGAAGTTAAGGTCTAAACAGTACAATAAAATTAATAAATAAATATAATGATAACATGACTATTCTTATGTGTCCCCTTTGATATCCTATTTAAAAGAAGTATTTGGATGGCATTAGGAAATTATAATTCTTAAACTTTCGTACCTGATACTTGCTTATTCAAGATCCGAAAAGGATTTCTCTGAAAATGACTTTCAATAAAGCATATAGCCATTTTAAGGTCGGATCAAGTTGTATATGCAAAAATCGATGGAAATGGAACGTGGGAAAATTCGTCATTATTTTAATACCACCCCTATATAGCACCACATTTCCTTCAGTAATTATGCTCTTATGTCTGGCATAGACAGAACTTATTATGGTTTTATAAAAAAATGCCGTCACCCCTGCCAACATAAGTCTCGTCTAGTTCAATTATAGCTTCCTGAAAATTCCACGGAATTACCAGTTTCTAATCTAAGTGCGTTTAGAATTATCGCAAGCCTACCTGATCGCCATGCTCTTGGCCTTGAGGTGGTGCCATCTCTGGTTCATCTCGTCCAGGCGACGCTGCAGCATGACGGCGTCGTCCTTGGAAGGTAAGGAGCTGAGCAGCTTCCTGCCGCTGCCGTTGAGCGCCGCGTACACATCCTTGTGTCCTTCTATCTCGCTCTGCAGGTCCTGCAACAGAATAACTCTGTTAATAACTCTGGAGCAACAGTGAAAAGGATCTTCCTTGCAAGAGAATTACTTTATCAATATTTCTACATCAACATGGGAAAAGATCTCCCTTGCAACAAAATAACTCCGTCAACAACTCTCGAGCAATAGTTATAAAGGATCTTCTGACAAAGCTTTCACAGGTCCTGGGGTAACTATAGCAGCGGAGGAAAAAATCATCCGACAAGGTATTCACATGATCTAGGAGAAATGAGAGTGAAGATGCTATGAATTGGGACATACGCTCTTTGGGCGATACGTCAGAAATGGTTGGTTCCACAGGACAATGAATTGTATTTAAGTGCATGTCTCGATCCTGCTAAGAAGAGTTTTTGAAACATAACTCCAACTTTAAAATGTTTAAAAGTAAATGACAGTGCAATTCATTAAGGAGGTAGAGACGATGGAACTTTAACTCTTCGCATTGTATGAACAATAACAAATAGTAATACTTATTTTGTAAGTAAGTTGTATTTTGTAAGGAGTTGAGGTTTTAAATAAGTCATTTTTATTAAAGGAAAATCCGAATGTTTCATTTTTAAACTACGATAATAAATTTTTGACTTATATAAAGTACGAGGCTCGTCTTTACTAACGAACCTGTACCACGATACAATAGTACAAATCTTTAACCAGTCATAAAAAAAATTGGTATGCAAAAAATTGTAAAACTATGCATAGATTATTCTATAAAAATCATAACAATCCAACCGACTCATCGAGCAGTTGCATTTTTCAACCCGCATCGACAGCGACGCTTAATAAGCGAGCGGCCGGATTAATTGGCTCGTAAACCGGCGAATTTGACAAATGCGCCCGACGAAATTGCATGGGGGATGTATTATTATGTACTAAAACCGGGCGTTACGGGATTTATAGGGATGATAAGGCGTAAAACGAAGAAGGAAAGGTCCAGTGCATATTTATTCTGCGGCAGGCCAACATACGAGGGCGTTAGGCGGCCCATCTCTTGATTGGCTGTTTATCCCTTCATTATTCAATGTCAGTGTGTTTACCGTCTTGAATAATTTATCAGGTAAAACAGCTGTGAAGGTGAAAATTGGAGGTGAAGTCACACGAAATAGACGAGGACTGCTGATTGAAATATAGTTGTAGTGACCTTTAATTATAATCATCTGTGGGCTTGAATGTACGGGGACGGTGAAATGTAGTTAGATAAAATAAACAGTATTTAATAATATTTCAAATTTGTATAATTCAATCCAGAAATATGTTTGAACAAGAGGCGTTGATAAACGAACTACTGTATATCTTGTTTATGTTTTGGCTATTTAATATTAGAGAAATTAAAAGACAGTCATCGCTAACGATGTCGAACGCTTTAGACGACCACTTATACGTGCAGTGGTTTAATTATAGGAATCTGTGTTTGCACTGATACCAGGAAGTTTAGGTTTGAAGGTCCATCAGGAGGTTTTGATTAGACATCATAATTGCGAGACAGAAATATGGAAATTTACCCTTTCCTAATGAACCATCAGGATCTGCAAGCTCATGTCCGACTACGCTAATGTCAACTACAATATGATAACATGGGTCGTCATGTACTCTGCCATTCGTGATGTATGTATCTTTGGATAAACTCAATGTTATTAGCCAAATAAATAACTAATTCAGGTGATTTCTAAACTTATTAGTGTGTACATACAGTTTTCTTTTACAAACTAACCAAGCCAAAACATTATACAGTAAGTGGAATTTCAGCATTCGGTTTGAAAATCCTTATCCTTGATTTGATAGAAATAGTTGAATGAGCCACTGACCACAGAGTGCTTCTGCTGTCTAAATTATATTGTCTCCTTTAGATTTTTAAAAAAAAATAGAATTTCATGTAACATAAAAGATGCTATTGTTTAAATGATGATAAAGTTAGTTTATTCGACATAAGTCAGTCATCTACATCAGCGCACTCTGTTACAGCTAAATTAAACCATTTCCACTTTTACTACACAATTTCCAGCAGTTTTATGGGAATGGGACGTCTACTTACACAAATGGTCAAAGACATACAAAGGACATTTTGACGCATTTCAACTACCTTTTCAAAAACCTGCAGCTCCTGTAGGATGACGAAGTTGAGGTAGATGTAGCGCGCGTCCTCTACGGACCGGGACCGCTGGAGGTCGAAGAAGGAAGGACCGCGGCCCAGGCGTCGGCCCGGCCACGTGCGTCCCCCCGGCCTCAGGGGGATTTTGGGGGGGTCCAGGCCACTTGGGTCACCTCCCGTCCCCCATCACCAGGCACTCCGCGTCTTACGTATGTCTCTTCATCTTAGCACTATCCGAGTCACTAGGAGCACTTCTAGTTCTGGGTCCAAACAGTCTTTGTCGCGCACTCATTATGTCACAGAACACTCATTTTGCCACTACTTATTGGGGTTTAAACTAATCTTGTGGCTGGGCAATTTATCAGGTACTATTAAGTCTTTAGAGTTTTAAAATTTTTATGGAACACTTAGCTGAAAAGATTTTATGAAAATATAGCGAATGATGATGATTTATGTATTTTTCAAGCTAAAAACAAAGCGAAAGCACTGCCATATAGTTTTCAATCCTTGAAAAAACTGAAACATTTCTCTACGAAATAAAACAATGTGTCTATGCAATTCAAGCACGATCAGTTAAGTTCTCAAAGTGTAATGTATTGTACAGTACTAAAGACAAAAACAGCACTGAAAAATGTACAGTATCCTTGCTGCTTATCTTGGTGTATGCAAACTGTAATTAATTGAAAATATTGACATTTTAACTGAGAAGTGTAAACCTAATTCTCACAATGAAATGGTATATTCTTTAATAATGTATTGAATATTATATTATAATATTATTAATATTAAATATCCTGTATATTCTATTAAAATGTATATTCTTTACCACCACAATACAAGTATAATTAGTAAGTTCATTTACTCCTATAATATTTGTTTATCATTGACTTAAATACTTTCTACAAAGTTTCATCGCATGTTCACCCACAAAAGCTTTATCACTGGCCGTAAAAACAAAGTGGTAATTCCCATCCATAATCAATAAACTCGCTAGTCTCCGAAGCTTTAAAGCTGGCAGATAAAGCAATGGCGGAAAGTTTGACACTTTCTCCGGAAGTAGCTTGATCCATATTAATACCGGAAGTGTGACTTAAAGATAACACCAGCTGATGGTTTCCATAACAAGTTCATTAAAGTTTGATGAACACATTTTACAACAGCTTAAAAATGCTCGTTTGAGTTTAGGTAACGTCTTTAGCAAAAATGTTATGTCAAGTACCCTACTCTACGGTTTGCGATATGTATATGGTACAGAGTAATAAACGGTGTAGAATATTAAGTTAAGTCTAATAACAATTTCTGTGTTTTTATTCTCGATGTTTCAATGTATTACACGTAAATATTTCAATGACAAAAATATAACGTTTGAAACCTCTACAAACTATGTGTTTATGAAAGTTGCCTTCAGACATAACAATGTTGAACTTGCTCTTGAGTTGCATACCTAAGATCAAGAATGTTCTGAAATTCCTTTGTGACCACCATTTCAACTCCCGCCTCTACTCAGACCTGATACAAGACGTCTTAGAGTCTAAGGGATTATAGAGAATTTTTGGACTTCAACAAGTGTGGTCTGTATTAGAAAAAAATGTATGTGTATGCGGTTCCAAAAGAAAATTACAAATAGTTTTATTTGGTTGAAATATCCCAAGGCCATTGTATAGTATATAACAGTAGTATGATTTTTAAGTGACTTTAAAAATGACAATTTAAAAAATAATTCAAAATAAATATACGTGATTTTTATCGTGACATTATATGAGAAAAACAATGTTTCTATATGATTTAAAACAACTCATTACATGCCCTCGCCCTTCAGTCCAATCTGTGGTTCAGATTTTTAATGTACTTGTACTATTAATAACTTTGTACTCTATGTTTTACCAAACTATTTCTAGTACAATACGAAGAGTACAGTTTTATATCCGTATACGAAAATATCCGCTCCATTGTCATAGCAGCACACGTTATTCCTGATAACATGTATTTTGGTTGGACAAACATGAAAAGGAAGTTAATCGTGGAGAAGTTAAGAAGTAAAAGACAGTAAGATGCACCGGACCGAGTCAACGGCTGTATCCTGACAGCTGATGGCATTAAACAGCTGGTGATAACAACAACTGCCCCCGTTATCACTGAAATGACGTCACATTACGTCCAGCCCTATAGCGGTCCACAGGGCCACATTTCGGTGATAAAGTCATCGTTGCGTTTTTAATAGTTGGGGATTTACTATAGCTTTTGTTATTGGACATTTTTTGTCCTACCTTCACATCCTAGAACTTAAGGGTAGACTTAGAGGGTCACGACATTATCATTACCAAACCATTGACGATTGGCAAGATTCGAACCCGGGACCTAGGGATTGCCCTGTGCTCCACCAATAAACCAGCTCACGCCCTAGGAACTTCTCAATGACAATGATATGTTTCAAGCGTGTGACGAATAATCAGCATTAAAATTCGTTGTGTAGCCTACAGTACAGTACTGCTTTTTACAATGTTTTAGGCTATTACAATCATCATTAAGGATTAATTTAAGATTTCATTCTGCACTCTCCTGCACCGTAGAGAAACATTCCTATGATCCAATCAAACTATTATCGCCCAGCGGTTATCTGCAGTTTCGATCTCATTTTTTGAGGAATGTAGAAAAAAAGAGCTATGCTATGAGGTAAAAATTTTTCTTGACAAATAAACTAACTAGCCTAATTAAATTCAATATTTCTACAAAATTAATGTTTTCAATGAAGTATACGACATTAAACACGTCCATTTTATGACCACATAAAGAAACAAACCACACATCCCTTATGTATATGATTTTAATTAAGACCCTACGCACATTAATTACTTTTTTAATCTCGTCCATTATCAGAATCGCCGGAAAGTCT